TTGACATTGTGGGTTTACCTATAATGCGAAGAGATGGCGCTGCCTTGCAGCTTAAGAATAGCTAGAAAGAATTTCGACGCGGTCCGTGAGGGCCGCAGTAGCATAATTGGTCAGTGCATTCGCCCGGATTGCGAAGGGTGCGGGTTCGAGTCCCGTCTGCTGCCTGGTCCACGTGGAATTTTTTCTAGTTATATTTTCTTTAGATTTAAACATCAAGCAGTTACATGCTTTAAAAATAATAAAAATTATAACTATAATTGCTATTTCTTCTTTCAAATGTTTAATACTTGTAAAAGTATTCATTTGACATTGTGGGTTTACCTATAATGCGAAGAGATGGCGCTGCCTTGCAGCTTAAGAATAGCTAGAAAGAATTTCGACGCGGTCCGTGAGGGCCGCAGTAGCATAATTGGTCAGTGCATTCGCCCGGATTGCGAAGGGTGCGGGTTCGAGTCCCGTCTGCTGCCTGGTCCACGTGGAATTTTTTCTAGTTATATTTTCTTTAGATTTAAACATCAAGCAGTTACATGCTTTAAAAATAATAAAAATTATAACTATAATTGCTATTTCTTCTTTCAAATGTTTAATACTTGTAAAAGTATTCATTTGACATTGTGGGTTTACCTATAATGCGAAGAGATGGCGCTGCCTTGCAGCTTAAGAATAGCTAGAAAGAATTTCGACGCGGTCCGTGAGGGCCGCAGTAGCATAATTGGTCAGTGCATTCGCCCGGATTGCGAAGGGTGCGGGTTCGAGTCCCGTCTGCTGCCTGGTCCACGTGGAATTTTTTCTAGTTATATTTTCTTTAGATTTAAACATCAAGCAGTTACATGCTTTAAAAATAATAAAAATTATAACTATAATTGCTATTTCTTCTTTCAAATGTTTAATACTTGTAAAAGTATTCATTTGACATTGTGGGTTTACCTATAATGCGAAGAGATGGCGCTGCCTTGCAGCTTAAGAATAGCTAGAAAGAATTTCGACGCGGTCCGTGAGGGCCGCAGTAGCATAATTGGTCAGTGCATTCGCCCGGATTGCGAAGGGTGCGGGTTCGAGTCCCGTCTGCTGCCTGGTCCACGTGGAATTTTTTCTAGTTATATTTTCTTTAGATTTAAACATCAAGCAGTTACATGCTTTAAAAATAATAAAAATTATAACTATAATTGCTATTTCTTCTTTCAAATGTTTAATACTTGTAAAAGTATTCATTTGACATTGTGGGTTTACCTATAATGCGAAGAGATGGCGCTGCCTTGCAGCTTAAGAATAGCTAGAAAGAATTTCGACGCGGTCCGTGAGGGCCGCAGTAGCATAATTGGTCAGTGCATTCGCCCGGATTGCGAAGGGTGCGGGTTCGAGTCCCGTCTGCTGCCTGGTCCACGTGGAATTTTTTCTAGTTATATTTTCTTTAGATTTAAACATCAAGCAGTTACATGCTTAAAAATAATAAAAATTATAACTATAATTGCTATTTCTTCTTTCAAATGTTTAATACTTGTAAAAGTATTCATTTGACATTGTGGGTTTACCTATAATGCGAAGAGATGGCGCTGCCTTGCAGCTTAAGAATAGCTAGAAAGAATTTCGACGCGGTCCGTGAGGGCCGCAGTAGCATAATTGGTCAGTGCATTCGCCCGGATTGCGAAGGGTGCGGGTTCGAGTCCCGTCTGCTGCCTGGTCCACGTGGAATTTTTTCAGGTTATCTCTTATTTAAATACAAAAAAAACAACGGAAATTTGCAATAAATGGTAAACTAATTAATTGTTGACTCGTTAAAGTGGTTTATCGTCGAATCATGATTCTACAACGATAGCGAAATCTTTCTACAAAGCATTTTCACCACAAACAATGAATCATAATTCCAAATCATAATTGTTCCTTAATATTTGTTTTATAATTAGGAAAGCAAAGAAGTGAATATTCCGATACATTGTTATTTTGAATGACAGTGGCAGTTGTGCCGCCTTATAAATAAATTTCATCTTATTTTCGGAATTAGTCACAGTCAGTTTTCTAACTCAAGAATGTTAATTTTAATACACTGAAACTAAATGAATGCATGAAATCATTCTAAAAATATTATGTTCTGAAAATTAAATAGTTAATTACTCGTTTTTCAGATTAAATTGTATACAATAAAACAGGGACAAAATAAACACCGTAGAATTAGGAACCGATCAATGATATTATATAAACAAGAACCGATGGCATGGAGTTGACGTTCACAAGAGCTTGTAACAGCCTAGACTGAATAAAAGATTTTGAATTTGAGTAATGTACCGTGACGAAAGATACTGAAGCCACTATTAATATATTTGTAATTATCAGTTGCGAATATAAATCTACATATAATTATTAACAATTAAATTTACGACCACACGACCTTTCCATTACAATCAAGCGCTAGGCCATTCACCGCTCCAATATCTAGACACTTTGTCTATTCATAACTGTGTGTATTCAGAGCTTCCGAAGTTTTTCATGTCTTATATAAATTATGTAATTTATAGAAGCCGCTCACGTACATAGCCGCTCCAATATTTCAGAGTAAAGGAAGTAAACATTGCAGATTATGGAGTCGGAGGCGGGTTGAACGTGTGCCAAACTGTACTCCACTTCACTTGTTTTTGATCACACCTGGGGAATCGTTTCGTAGTTAAATGACTTATAAGCACGCCATATTTGATGCAATTGGGGAATAAGTTTGGGACTTTTTTGTTACACCATACTAAGGCGAATAATATCAGCAATATATGTTAAACAAGTTCTTGAAAATAGCTTTTTGTAAATTAAAGAAAGAAAGAACTTTTGTTTCCTTATAATTTCATATACCAACAAAGCGATGGCTGGATGATTCACAAAGAATGTCTAAATTAATAAACTTAGCCGCGCTTTCAACGCGTTTGCCCATTTCCGTCTTGGAACAAAGTGTGGTAAGTGCAAAGTATATAAAAAACCTAAGTGCATCGGGACAACTCAGTTGAGGGCTTCCGCCCCGCAAACTCTTCAATCGGAACACTTTAGGCGAAGGGAAACTTTATCCTGTGAGACTGAACATCTTTATTTTGGTAACCAAATTGTAGGGCAGACGATCGACAAAGCTTTGACCGTCTTCGTACATCTCGCTTGAAATTTTCTCTTGTGTTTTTCCCTTACAAAATGTCTATATTCGAACCTTTATTCTCTCTCCTGCCTCCGTTCTCAGATATTGTTCCATATAACAAGCCGACTTTCCCGTAAATTCTCTGAGGCATAAACAATATATGCCGCAATAAATTTCAAATGATTGTCTCGCGTTTTCATTGAAAGTAACGTAATGCGAGATTCGACAGTAATGATGAACTGTTAAAATACTTTGAATTATAATACATTATTTTTCCATTGTATGTATTCGATTTAACAAATCAATTAATAATTAAAATAGATATAATAAAATACATACGATGGAAAATCGATATATTTTAATTCAAATTATTTGAAAATTATAGCTTGCAAACATATCAAAAACCCGAATAATGTTAAAAAGTTCAAGTACGTTGAACCAAAATATGTATAGATTTTATCGTTTGTATTTTAGTAGCTACAATAATAAATATGTACGAAGGGTATTATTATTTGTTGAACGACTTACGACAATTGTCACTTACAACTCTAAAGACCCTAATAGAATTACGAAACTCATATGGGTAGAAATTATGGCCAATAAAATATTCATGGAGTTGCCACCAACTTCTATCTATCTCTCGAAGTCTTGAGGGATCATAATTTGAGCAGAAATAATGAAACGATGTGTTTCGCGATGTTTTATTCAGTGCCTCGCCCTGTCGTTTAAATGAATGTATTTTTGGCTTATGATCCTCTTAGGAATATTGAGAAGTCTTATTCAATTACTGTTAATTTATACTAGTTTCCTTTAAGGAGATCCGTTGCAATGGCTGTGTGAGAAGAATATTTAGAAGTAAGCTTGCTACTTGCTTGAAAATATTAAGTCATGATGATTTTATTTTAAACCCTACTCTTGTATATATATCGTTCAGTTTAGAGTATGCGAATGATTAAAAAATACCTATAATTCATCATAAACTAGACATAACATGTCTGAATAACATTTTGATACTTAATGTAGTGAGATGTACCAGAAGCGGTTCTTTCAATAAATACAAATGTATATATAAGGTATCTTTCTAAATAAAGTCGAGACCAGACATTTGTCTGTTCATTAACTTTCTTCGAGAGACAAGTGGAAAATCGTGTGTGCTGCCTTTTCTTCGAATGCGAATCCAAAAAAAGAATGCTAAAATATACTTTGAGGCTTGAGGATAAAGTTGCGTTTCTTCTGCATATTTGACCGTGGTACTTGATTTCGGGGTGTGTTTAGATTGGACACGTCTAATAACGAGCGGGTTTCCACTCGTATGGTGTTTGCTTTGTAAATGAGTGTGGATAACTCTTGCCTTTGTTTTCAACGTGAATTTCTACTGTTGCACTGTTTCTCTGTTTTCATTATGTAAAGACAGATAACATATGTATACACATAATATGTGTATATTTTAGCAGAATTAAAACAACGTCATTACTAGACGATTTCGTTGGTGAGAAATTCGCGTGCAATTAGCTTTTCATGATGAGGTCACATTATGTCATCCATTTATTTGTCACGATTTCCCTTTTTGTTTCTGAATTTCTGGACATAAGGACTTCAGCTACTTACTTAGAGATCAGAGCAATTTATATCTATGTTATATATATACATATAGTATATGATTTTGTGGTCGTCTAATAGTTGTTACAATACCTATATTATATAAATAGCTAATCGAGTAAGCATTACTTATAATTCCGGTAATTTAAATTTACAGTTAATTACTTAGTAATTTAGAAAAAAATGTGCTAAATAGTTTTTCAACAATCTTAGTATTGTTGAACAACTATTTAGCACAAATTTTTCTAACATGGTTGTAATAGTTTTTTTACACAAGTAGCGAGTGATCCTTTATCACATGTATTTTCCTGCTAAGTAGTTATTATCACTATCAGTCGGGTTCGCTGTAAGCGCTATGTCAAACTTTAACATACCATCATTTTCCTCTGTTAATTCGAGTCGAGCGCACGCAAACGTTTGGGGAATCGTACAACTGTACTTGTTACTCCTGTGACTATGTAAACATTGTGTTAGTGTGTGAAATTATAATGTTCAACGCACCAAGGAGGCGGTCCTTGAACGCTATCGTTGAGAAGCATTTCTTAAGAAGGAGACACTCCAAGGATTCTCCTTTGATTTCACCAGCGACAGATGATGTAAGTTTTTTTGTGAAGGTTTCATTAAAATATATTTTCACTGTGTGTCCTGACTATAATCGCAATAATATGGCGTAGGATTTTTAGGATAGTCAATGGAATTATTATATATCGGTTTGTTTTTTTTTCTAACATCAAAAAACTTCACTGTTTTTACTTATTTTTTTTATTTTAATTAAAAGACATGTCTAAAGGCTCTGCATAGAAAAGAAACAAAATAGAATATTTCACAACTTTTTTGAATGATTTTTATTGAATATAATATTCCTTTGTTTGTATCAAATAGCATAGATTAGCGAATTTCATGAAAACAGATGTGAAATATAATGTTTGTGTATAGAATTTCGATTGACATTTAAATATGTCCTTCAATAAGAAGCTTATCTTATCGACCGTTCGCTGATTACAAACGTGATTTGAATGTATATTATGGTGCAAGAGATTCCGTTTAGTTTTGTAACAGATGCGTTCAGTATTATGATTTTAATAATGAAACATGGGTCGTAAACAAAAAGCTTAATTTTTTTGAATTCTCAATTATGAATAAAGTTTTTAGTGGAACTATTGTAAATATACCTTTAAATTTGCTTTATTTTGGAAACTACTCCTGTAGCACACACATTTTATTACGAAAAATTCTTGCTTTAAATAAATATGAACTATGCGAATATTGATTTCATTATAATAACAATCTGCAAAATTTTAAATTAATTTGTTTTCATTTTCTTAAATCTGCGGAAAATACCATGTAGCGGCACGTCGTCTTGTCAAACACACATGAAGTGTAGGTACGAAACATTTGGCCCAGCAGTTGGTCGAATTTGCAAAACCACAAAAATATCTACAATAAACACCTGGCGCGAGGGAACACAGTTCGGCTCGCACGCAGCCATCACCCACTGCTACAACGGCTACGGGAACGGCAACGGGCGGCTTTCAACTAGAACAAAAGTCATAAAATTTGTGTTTTTAAAGAAAACATTGTTTTTTTTTAATAATTTTAGTTTAGTTTTTATCAAATGAAATACTTGGAATGGATAAAAAGCGCAATTTCACTACATTGCTTTTAATACACATATTTCTTGACGCTTCGGACCTTTTACGGTCTTTCGCTAGAAACAAAAAATAAGAAATATATATCATTTAGTTTTAGCTGCTCTCGTGACAGATGTCACATGCACTTTTTCTTCTTGAATGTGATTGCGTATAAAGAATGTCGGTATGTAAAGATTACGTCACTAAGTATTAATAAAAAATCCTAAAAAAACTGTCTGTAATTAAAACATTTTACTCTAAATTATTTTGCTTGTTAGTTTACCGAAGTAACTATTCCTGTCAAATTGTAAGAAGGACGCCTGAGTCTTGGAAATTATAATTAGTAATTATAGTATCTATCATTCATTAAATAAAACATACATCACGTTTTGCACTTCTCAGGCTGGCAATTCTGTCGACGCAGCCTGAACAGAATGCGAACCTCAAAAAAAAAGTAATAAAAAGACGCATTTTGAACCCATCAAATGTGATTTACTTAATTAATTGTGCGAGTGCAAACCTAAGAAACAAATATTTATCATTCACTTGAGGAAAGATGTTTATCTACTGTAATTATAAGAAGATATGTCGTATATTTATGTTGTATGTATATGTGTTATAGTAATATTATGTGTATATATTATGTTTGTATGGTATGTATGTATATTTAATATATACATAGTAAATATTCATTTTTTTATCCCTTGTTTCTTTTATAATACCACTGACTTCAGTTTCTTTCAATCCTCTCCATCCAAAGGTTGTCTGCAAGAAATCGCTTTTGGCGATAAGACCGACCATTGAAGCACCATGTTTTGACATAATGTTTTTACCCCATCTATGTACTGTACTGTAGTGTTTTCAATAAAGAATTGTTTATTATATTGTATTGTAAGATATGGGTACTAGTTTTAAAAGTAATTGAATTTTGTATTTAAGAGCGCCTTCGTATAGATAACTGAAAGCGATGTTCCTAACAACCGGATGTACCACTCCTTAAACCGGTTTTTTTTTGCGATAACTCACTCTAGATACATATTAAAACGATTCTAATTAAGAAAAAGCAAATGTTGCAAATAAGAAATTGACGTTCGTCTTGTTTTGGGTAGAGACAATGTAAAATAAGAAAAATTAAGATAAAAGCTGGCAAAACTTTTGTTTTTTTACTCGCAATTTAAAATTATATAAAATTTTTAGAAACTAGCGGAGTGGATATTATCACGTGAAATGCAAGCATAACTTTTGAAAACAGAGTCACAGTATAATGTTTCGGAAATAACCTAAAGTATATTACCTATAACTTAATATATATGTGTAATTTAATTTCTAATTGGCAACCGATTTCTGAGCATGGGATATAAGTATTTTAGGAAGATATGAATGTGTAACTATTCTAAAATTAACCTCGGGTAATAACATTTTACCTTCTGTAAATATTTGTCAATCAAAGTCTATAGTTCATCATCTCATTTTCCTCAAAGGAATAAATATACAATAATAGTATGGCAAATTTTTGTATAAAAATAACTTGAACGGGTTTTTCATGTTGAGACATAGATTTACGTGTATATAGTTTGTATATTTTAATTATCCTCACAGAGTCTATTTTTATTCATCATAAAGGACAAGGATAAATGAAAAATGGAAGATTGAAAATCAATTCCTTATTTGTTGTCGAGTGACATTTGTACTTCAAATTTACTTTTTTATTGATAAAAGTTGTAATACTTATTACAGTGGCATAAATCCTAAGTGGCAAATATAGTTTCTGTGGTTAAAAATGGCTGGTCCGACCGATTTTGGACGAAATATTCAACGGAGTAGTTTTTGCAAGTGAAATCACAGACCTAGATCTGTGTCGGTGGGTGAAATGTTATTTCAATGGAATAAGCCTATAAAATAAAACTTAAAATCCCACCATCACAATTTCCCTTTAAATTTGATAGGAAACCCCAAATTTTAAATAGTAACAGACTGAAATTTTTAAAAATTATTAGCAATTGTATTTTTTTATCTATTTAGTGAATCCGACATAATCTTTAAAATTTGCCATGATCATGTCGCCCATGTTAAACTGGGAGCAACAAAAAATTATTCAAGGCAACAATTTTGCTCCTGCAAAATGAAAAAGCCATTCAACGAAGAGGGTTATTTTGGACTTTGTAGACAAATCGACAAAAAAAAAAAAAAACAAAAATTAGATTTACAGCTATATGATATTTTATTTGCATAGTCATATTATCACACCTTTGATGCTCTGCCAACTCCTTTAAGGTTATATGGGGCGAATTTACGTTTATAAAAACTGACCTTTCATGAGCGTCGTTAATCGCCGGTCATTGTTACGCCAACTAGTCTAGATAGTGTCGACACAAATTAATTTGACGAATAACATTAACAGTCGCCTCCACGATACGAGACTAAAAATTCGTGTGTTCGATCGATAGCTGAGTCATGTGCGTTTGTGTTCTAAGTGTGGCAATGTGTGGCAAGGTCGCACAGCCTTCTAGATGATATCCCGCCTGAATGTCTAATGTGTGTTCAGGTGATAACGATTATGAAACTTCACGATAGCTTAACTGTGCTCGAAGTGCGAAAAACTGTTCATGTTGATAGTGACATTGAAAAGTGAACCTTATCGATTTGCGCTCATAGCGTGAAGGTTGATTATGTGCAGTTTAACGATTCATTTATTCCTCAAACGCACCACTTGTTCATCTTATAAAAATAACATCGCATCACACCAAATATCTTTTGCGAGAGTGGAAAAAATCAATAAAATTATATTAAGTTTTAACATATTATTAGCCTACTAGTATTATAAAGAGGAAAGATTTGTATGTTTGTTACGAACAAACACTAGATTAATTTAAAAAAAAAAACATGTTAAAAGAAATTTTGCCCGCGCAAATCCGGGGCCGGTCTCTAATAAATAAATGATTTTATTAATTCTGCAAAACAAAAACATTATATAAACAATAAAACATTTACTAAAATAAACCCTTAAACAAGAAATCGTCTCAAAAGGATCTGTTATAAAACCTTATGATAAAAAATATAGAATAAGTATTTGAATTGAGTTACACCTTGCGTTACCCATGCATGCATACTGCCAAAAGGTCCTGTGTGAATGTTTTGTTCGGAACATATGGTTTTGGTGTTGTTCCGTTGCCATGGCGACGGCAGTTGCGTACACGCAGGTGTCTACTGCAGCTGTCACTTATAGACGAAATGGATGTAACCTAAAAAGTGATCAATATCATTATTGAGTGAACTTTAGTGTCAATTAGTGAAGTTGCTTCTACGTGGAAATAAAATTATAATAGATATTATACTCGTTGTTCTCAATGCTATGATACAGGCTCCATATGGATACAGTTTCATAAATAGGGAATATGCACTATTATTTTTTATAATTTTATTTCATAGTTTACAATCCCTCAATATAGTACATATAAAAATATTTAACGTCGAAAAAATTCTCTAATGTCTCAAAAAATTGCAACCCAATCATTGAAACCATTAATTTAGGTACACCATAGTTTAAAACATTCTTCCTCAAACATACTGTTTAATTTGGTTTTAGTTTTCTTAATAAATACTGATAGCAGGCGGTTCATTGCACTAGCACTGTGTTTAATTAGCTGGTATACAAAGTTAAAAGATAATTGACTTTATACCAATAAAATTCTCAATGTAATGGAATTTCTGCACTTAAGCGCGTTTGACGTCAATGTAATATGTGATCATCGGCAAACTATATTTATATACGTTATGTTGTTAAATATTAATTGTAATAATTCTTATTTATGTGTAGTTACCTACTGGATCGAAAAATATCCTGTTTTATACATTGCAATCTGTTGCTATGTGGTTTGAGTTCTTAAACATGACACATACGAAAAAAATAAGTTCTACTAATATTTTAATACTTATATATTTTTGTTTTATAAGGTTATTTAATT